TTATTATATTTTCTTTAACAATGCTACATTCACCAGTGACGACATTAGTTGGGACTGCATGCTCATTGCATCAAAAGATCTTAAAATGCTCATGGGACATTCTCCCACAGAAGGAAAGAGATCTGGTAGCTCCCTTAAAGGAAGGCTACAGCAATGGCAAACAAAAAAAGCTACCAAAGAAAGGACATGTCAAAGCAATTCGGAAAAACGATCCCCAAATTAGGCATGGGAAGCCACTTACTTGAACCACTCCCTCAGACACCCATTTTCAGTTTAGGGTCCTCAATGTTTCTCCTCATATGCGAAACCACAACTCTGCTAATCACAAATCTGGGCAATTCCAACAAAGTCACCTCCACACACCCGATGGCAGTGCAAAATCCCAGGCATTTGCCAACAGCGTGCGCTTCGCTTGTAGCACAGGAAAGAGCATGCAGGTTCCCTTACCTTTTGACATGCAGACTTTAATCACAGCTAGCTTCTAACCACGCCCATTTTTAGCAAAAATATCATCAATCCTGACATTGTGTGTGGACGCATGGACACCCAACAATGGGAGAACCATCAATATGAGCTCTTCTTTAGAACATGGGTCTGAACAACTGAAGCAGACACTGACTAAACAGAAAACAAGATTCACAGTATCTAAAGCCACATATACTTTCAGTTCACATAACTCTGTAGAATAAAAACCAGAGAGCTGGTTAACAAAACTCCTTTCTAAAGAGAACCAAGAGGTAACACTATAATAGCATTGTAGAACCCAAGACCTAACAGTCACCAACTTCTCATTAATGACTTCTCTCAAAGGAGCCAACAGTGCATTGAACTGGCATTTAAAAAGCTACAAACGACCATTACCTTTAAAAATAAATTCTTACAAACAAAATAATGTCCCTAAAGCATTATACACATCTAAATACATATACATTATTAAAACACAACTGCATATTTCAAATGCTTGGCAGTGATCCATTTTACATTAGAAAAGTTCATGGCAGGTTGCAGGCTAGCATGGCTGGATGCCAATCCATTATTCAAGCTTGGATTGGGAACCTATGCTATTCCATAGACCGACTGTGGAGAAATGGTTATATTATTTTAAAGCTTGGTCTAATATTTTAATAAAGGCTGATTTAAGTATCAAGTACAGAAGCAAATCAAATATAAGTGCAGTGCAAGTATAATGAGTTAATATTAAAGGGTGGGAGACATCTTTAACTATAATCTAGAAATTTGCTTTGCTTTTGTCCAGGATAACATCATCATAAACATTAATTTAAATAACAAAAACAAGAAATGTGCTGCTAATGTGGGATGATTTCATTAATCACAAGTCTAAGGCGCAATACAACAGATACCTTAAACTCCACTGACACCTACTTCAACAGGCTCTTTCCTCTCAATCAGGATTGTAACTCAAGCATGGCCTATACGGAGACCATATAATTTAACATCCCAATGAAGACATCTGAGTGAAAGGGAAGAGATGAAGATAGCATGCTGAAAAATGGGGAGTAAACTGGCACGTTTCCAACAACTCAGACATATGATCACTCTACGTACAGACAAACGGTAGTGTTTGGAAGTCAAGAATGTATCACACAGTAGCAAACAGCAAAGACTGCACCTACAAATGCTTGCTTTAGTGACACAGTAAAATGTACCTGTAACGCAGTGGCACCGAAAAAAGAACAGCATTGGAAACAGATGAAGACTGTTTAGTTTCTGCACCTGAGGAAGTGCTGACTGCACCATTCTGCCCTCAAGAAATAAGGAATTCTGCTTCTTGTGCTACACTCCCAGAAGACATTGAGTAGGGATCCTGGGTAAAGGAAAAACCAAGTGCAGAAGCAGCATCTTGGATTTCAGAGATGGCACCAAGAAATACTGCAGATACACTTCTCTGTATTACTTTCAGTGGCTCAAAGGGTCCATAAAGGCACAGTAAGCCCGAGGGTAGGTTTATTATATTTTCAGCTCAAACACACAGCTCAAGTATCTTCTAAGCAAAGTACTCAGTACTAATGGGAACAGTGAAAACCCAGGTGAACAAAGAAGAGGAGGAAAATGGAGCATCACCGGAGGATTCTGTGCAAGGGTGTACCAAAACTAGCATTGACTATCTACAAACACAAGTAATATTTTGCAGTTTTTTTAAGTTTTCTAAAATACTGAAACTTACATAAGGAGAACACAGGATTCCCAATCCTCCCTGCCTCTTATCACTTACAAAAACATTCGACTGGAAAGAATAAAACTGAGGGCTGTTAAACTAACATGAAGAGAGGCGTATTGGGGGGAAATAGGGAGGAAAGTAATTTCTCTCTTTCAAGTTTTAGAACATTTACCATAGCCTAACAAAATATTAAACTCAGAGGGTTAGTTCCATTTATTGTGTGTGTGTGTGTGTGTGTGTGTGTGTGTGTGTCCCTAACGCCTAGAGGCAGACTTTTGAGCAGCATTCGCCTAGAAGGAACAATTCTGGAGAAAATGCTTCAGGTTCCTCTGACACCTTTCCTTGTCCTCCCAATGGGAGGAATTCATCTGATTATATAAGAAAGCCTGACATTTCCTGGGCCTTCTCTCTCATGGGAAAAAGTGTTAAAAGCCACTATTCTCTGTAAAGTCCAATTTTGGCTGCCAAGTCATATCCCCTAGTATTTTAAGGTTATTGGTTGTTTCAAATTCAACAAAGCACCATCATTTAAATATTGAATAAATAAGGAGAAGAAAGCAATAATGGCTTAAAGATGTACTGCGAGTCTGGTTTAAGCTAGTTCAGACTTGAATTCCAGTTCAGGCTCTGTGACTTTGAGTAGATCTCTGACCTTTGGTCTCCTGTGCAATATAAAAGGTTAAGCATAACCCCAGTTTTTATAATCACCAACTTTAACAAAACTTAGCCTCTAGAAATTAAATGTGATGCTAAATAAAGGGAACTCATTTTACTGCCTATACCTGGAAAACCCCTTTCTTTAAGGCCAAGACTTCCAAAAGTGTGGTCTGCAGCCCACTGTGCCAGCTTCCAGGAACACCTGTGCAAATGGAAATCCGTGGCCCAGACCAAAGGGTCAGTGTGTATGTTTGTGATTTGAGTAAGGGGACGGGGGAGAGGGTGTTTGCGTGAGCTCATCTTTTAAAACAAGTCATGTAGGTGATTCTTAAGATCCTTACATTTGGTAATTCTAAGGCCTTGCTCTTCAAACTGACACACTGGTAACCCTGGGCATAGACCAAGATTTTTTTTCCATGGGAAAAGTAGATAGGGAATATCTATAAGAAAATCAAGTTAAAGATTTTTAATTACCATATGTACAGTTCAAAGATTTTATATGCTCAGATAAAGGCTGTTCAGATCTAACATTTCCCTTTAATACTTTCCTTTTCACCATCACCACACACCCTATTTTCAAAAGACTGCCTCTCACACACCTAGAATTTTCCTATGGGGCACTGCCTCACAATGCCCCTAAAAAACTAACAACACAAGGACAAAAAACATACCAAAAAACTCAGAACTCTCAAAAGAGGACAGAGTACAGTAAAGAGAGCTATAAGAATGCTAGCCTTATCTTTCTATCTCGGAACTGTAATGGAGAAGGTTGTGCCAGAAGGGTATGTTAATTAAAATGTCAAACATTTTTTGACTGAAAGTTAAGTCTGATTTGGCTCATTAACTTTGAGAACAGGCTTTGCCCGTTTATATGACAGAACATTTTCTACAAATTCCATCAACTCCATCTGCAGCTCCAAGTCTTTGATAAAAATCTTTAAAGCACATACACAATGTACTGGATAGTATGTCCTCTGAAAGCACTTAAAACATTTAAATATACTTTTATTGATTTCAGAGAGAGGGAGAAGGAGAGATTGAAGCCATCAATGATGAGAGAATCACTGACTGGCTGCCTCCTGCATGCCCCCTACTGGAGATTGAGGCCACAACCCAGGCATGTACCCTTGACTAGAATCAAACCCAGAACCTTTCAGTCCACAGGCAATTCTCTATCCAGAGCCTAACCAGCTAGGGCAAAAATTTATTCTTAAAATTCAGATGTCCAATGAAACATGTGCCAAAAGGAAAACTAATCTAGGGTGAGAGCCGTGAAGTGGTAGGACTGCCTGGAAAGGGGCACAGGGAATATTCTAAGGTGACAGGTGTTCTTCTAGAGCTTGGTTTGGGTAGTTACATGTCTACAGAAGGGAACACTATTGTTCACTAGTTATACCTCAATTTTCAAAATGTGCAAAAGATTACATATACTTGCAAAATTATTTTAGGGGTCTGTTAGCAAAAAATGTTTGATAGCATTACTCTCAGCACACATGGCAGAATCTGTTTCCTAAGACTTGTCTTTTGGCTTCTCTGAACCAGGCAGCCTGAGTGCCAACACTATATAACTTGGCTAATTGGATTATTTTTTCCCATGGTTAGCTTTGCTATATTCCTAATAGCCACCTGGGTTTAGACGCCTAAGAACATTCCTTACAGGATGTAAAGTACAGCATAAGGAACAGAGTCAATAATATTGTAATAAGCATACATGGTGTCAAGTGAGGGTACTAGACTTACGGAAAGATGCATCACTTCATAAATTATATATGCAACCACTATGCCATACACCTGAAGCTAATATAATATTGAATGTCAACTGTAATTGAATTAAAAATGAACATTCCCGAACAGAAAATAAAATTAACTAAAGAAACGTTAATTTTCAAGTAAGTAAATAAATGAACATATTTTTGTTTGTACTGATAAGTTACAAACAAAGAGTTACAAAGAGGAGTATAAGTTGCTCCTCTTAGACCCTAATTTTTTTAACCTCACCCAAGGATTTAAAAAAAATTTTTTTTTAATTTATTTCAGAGAGAAGGGAGAGGGAGAAAGAGAAATATCAATAATGAGAACAGTTGAGCCCACAACCCAGGCATGTGCCCTAACCAGGAATTGAATTGTGACCTCCTGGTACATGGGTTGAAGCTCAACCACTGAGCTACACTGGCTGGGTGAGGTGTTTTTTTTTTTAATTATTGATTATAGAAAGAAAGAAGCGGGAGAGAAACAAGGACTGGTTTCCTCCTGTATGCGCACCAGCTAGGGACTGAACCTGCCACCTGGGTATGTGTCCTGATCAGGAATTGAACCCAAGATCCTTCGGTGCACAGGATGGCATCCAATCAACTGAGCCACACCAACCAGGGCCCAGATCCTCAGCTCTGAAGGGAGATGAAGTGATTAATGTATCTTTTTATGCTAAGTCCCCATATTAATAGTCTAGTTTTAAAGAACTCATTCTCAATTTCCATATATTTACAAACAAAAATGTTCTGAAACATGACGTTTACATGAATAAATAATGCGTCAGACTGAACAAAGATGCTCAAGACTGATGTTTTGAGTACATGACCTGACCCTGTAAATATTGTTAAATTCACCGATTCACAGCTATGCTATAAAAACCCTAATAACCAAATGAATCTCTTTCTTGCACGCAGGGCATGAGGCCCCAGTCTTCTTTAATCTTCTGGCACACTGAAAACAAGTAACAAGATGGCTCGTCCTTCCATGAATAATGTTCCCGTCTCGTGGTCTTTTCTCACACACCCTGCATGGCTTCAGAAGATTCCGGCAATCCTCCATGCTTCCTGTCACTGTTCTCTGCTGGAAAAGGTCAGCTGATTGTTCTCCCATGCTTGACACAGTCTCTTGACTTTCAGAACTGTGAGCCAAATCCAAGAACTCCACAGAGTTGCAGGGATCCAAGGGTTTGGGGTTTTCTTCTTTTTTGTATGTATCTTTAGGTATAACAACTGGAGCTGATATGGTTCTGCGGCAATCGGGGATATCAATTCCTTCATTTTCCTTCTCTTCGGGTATGGCAGTGATATCAGACGTGGAGAGAGAATGCGTTAACTTAGAACAATCTGAATACCAATCCTTCCTTAAGGCCCAGCACCGAAAACAGTACCTCTTGCTTGGAGAGTTAAATTTCTTGCACTCAGTACACTGCCACTCATCCTACAAAGGGAAGTGCAGCCAATTAATACTCAGTGGGGAACATGACTCTGAGAAAAAATGAGGGTGGGCCAAACTCTCATCATTTCACTAAGCCAATGAGAGAGCACAGACAGTCCACATCACAGGTCTAGCCTAGAATTAAAATACATTGTACAGCCACTTTGATAGTGACACAATTGCCAATTCAAACCGAAATTTAATATAGCAATCTTTTTTAAAAGTTAAATTAATTATTTTGGCTTTTTAGTATGAATGGAATTTACATTGTTTGCTTTTCTGCTTTCTTTTTAGGTCATTTCTCTTTTTACAACTAATACTTATGTTGAGAGGCTAAAGAATGAAGAGATACTACTGTCATTCTTTTCTACTATTTAAGAAATGTTATAAAATCTGGCAAAAAAGCTACAATTATGATTTAGAAACTACTAACTTATTTATTCACGCTTTCTCACTGCTCTCGGGATCTTAGGTAGCTAACTGTATGCCTAAATCACACCCTCAAAAAATGAATGTTCTTAAAAAAAAATGTTCCTGTCCTTGAATGCCAAGTAAGTTTTTCCTAGTTCTCCATATTAAAATTAAGAGATACTAGAGCTCAATAAATTTTACGTGACTTGCTTAATTCAAAGGTAGCTACCTGGAACAAGTCCAGATATTTAATGTGATCATGGCCTGGCTTTCACAGGATCAATGATTTGACTGACTTGACTGCTTTCAGAATGAAGATCAATCAAGCACTTCAAGTTTAGAAGTTATAACTCAATTGCCAAGCCCAAGAAGCAGGGACACGGCCAATTGTTAAACTGGGATGTTCACAGAGAGCCTCAAAACATTCTTGTGCCAGCTGAAGATCCTCAGCTCTCATAGGAATACTACACAAAAACCCAAAGGAACTTCATAAAGATTTGGAATTCGTAACTGATGATGCATCACAGTCTAATTGGCATCTTTTCTTTTCTAGTAGTACATAAAATAATAGGGTTTGCTAAACTCAACGTCATCTTTGATTTGATAGAATACGGTCTATTTGCTTAATAGGTTTTCTTGGTCTAAATAGCCATAGAAGTCTGATGAAGATGGAAACACCCTGCTACCTGTATTACGGTCAAGAACACTTAACGGATCAATATATTCCACTTTATTACCTAGCTATGCACAGATAACTTGCAATGAATTACCATAATGGTCAACCAGTGGTGGGGTGGGAGTGGGAGAGGGATCAACACCAGAGACAACCTAAAATGTTTCCTATCCTCAAGCAGTGAAAAGTAAAATCAACCTCCTTATCCTTCCCTTACCACCCCTCTTTTTTCTAGTGAGTTAGCTGAGGGGAACACTAAACCGAAAATGGGGACCTAGCATGAAAACAGAAAAGTGAGGAACACATTTGAGTCTAAACATTAGTTGTTAATTGGTGACAAATCCATACCTATTACCTAAAAGCTTAATACTAAATCATTTATTAGCCCTCAATTAATATAAATCTGTGTGGAAACAGCCTTTCCATTTCTTTTTAAGAAAACATTAAAAAAGTAATTTTTATACCAACAAAAAATTTTAGATAGCTTATAAGTCTGTCTTTGGCATTGCAGAGGTGTTAGTGGGAAAAGCAGTGCAGTACTATTCGGTACCCACTGCATCGTGTCCAAACAGTTTTTCTAGCAGGGAGAAAGGCATGCAGAGGCACTTAAGTCATCCCTTTTCAAGGTAAGAAGATAGATCAACTCATCTCTTCTCAAATTCCAATAAAAACCTCTAACAAAATGTAAAGAAACCAACATCTCTTAACACCCAGGAAAGGTAAACAAAAATGAGGGGAAACAGCATTCTTCACAATGAACTGCTGGAACATTACCATCTCAGACTAGAAAATCGTACCTCAGAGGCAACCTCTACATCAGTATCATCACATATGGACTTAGAGTCCTCAAGGTCATCGCTTTTTCCCACTTCAATCACCTGTGACAGCAAAGATATCTCATTAGTAAGGTTTACCTGTTTCACGTGAATTTATTACCTGAGAACAGAAAAGATGAAAGAGCTTCAATTTAAAGCTCACATCCTGCCTCCATCATTAACTTTAAAAGGAGATAGCTTAAATATCGGGCCAAAAATGACTCTGTACACACCTAACACCAAGAGGGTTACCAAATATCTTCTGCATTCAGAAGGAAGAGAATGCCCCAAGTTACGACTTTAAAAAAAAAAAAAGCGCTGACTGGGATGCCTCAGCTGCTGCATGTCATCCTGTGCACTGAAAGGTTGCTGGTTTGACTCCAAGTCAGGGCACATGCTGGGGTTGTGGACTCAATCCCCGGCAGGAGGCAGCTGATCAATCGATCTCTCTCTCTCTCTCTTCAAAAATCAATTAAAAAATCTTAAAAAAACAACAACAGTATTAGAGAAGAAAAGTCACAAATTATTAGATGTGGAAATTCATCTTGGGAATCTAAGTAGGCACTGTAAAAGCAGTGTATAAAATAAGAAATTTAGATGTGAAAGATAAAAACAAAGCATTTTAAAATGTTATTCTTCATATTCAAATGTACAACTAGTTATGTAATGCTCTAGCTGTCCTATAAAAACATGCCTACAGACCAGAAACAAAAAGAAATGTGGGAAGTGTCTTCTAAATTTTAAAATTTAGAATTTAAAATCCTAAAAATTAAAACCTTAGTTTTATGACACAGTATGTGGAACAAAAACCAATTATAATACAATTATGACCTTCTGTATAGCAACTTTGTCACAATAGTTTAAGTATTTTAAGTGCCATCTCTCTATAGAAGTTTCCAAATGTCAAATTTGTCTTCATTCTAGCCACCTGCATTCTCTTCTAATGCTACCCATTTAACTAGTCTAAGAGAACCCAACCATCTATCTGCCCACCACAAACATACAGACAACCCCTTCAAGAACCCAAATTACTATGAAAATCTCTTAGATTAAAAGAATGATGCGCCCTAGTCGGTTTGGCTCAGTGGATAGAGGGTTGGCCTGCAGACTGAATGGTCCCAGGTTCAATTCCGGTCAAGGGCACATGCCCGGGTTGCTGGCTCAATCCCCAGTAGGGAGTGTGCAGGAGGCAGCCAATCAATGATTCTCTCTTATCATTGATATTTCTCTCTCTTCCTCTTCCTTCCTCTCTGAAATCAATAATATATATATATATATATAATCCAATATAGTTCTGTTTTTGCTCTAATTATTCAGTGGATATTTACAGAGACTCTTGACCATGTCAGGCACTGGGACCTGCTTCCCAGTTGTTGTTTTTAAAATATATTTTATTGTTTTTTTACAGAGGAAGGAAAAGGGATAGAAAGTTAGAAACATCGATGAGAGAGAAACATTGATCAGCTGCCTCGTGCACACCTCCCACTGGGGATGTGCCCGCAACCAAGATATATGCCCTTGACCAGAATCGAACCTGGGACCTTTCAGTCTGCAGGCCAGCGCTCTATCCACTGAGCCAAACCGGTTAGGGCTGCTTCCCAATTTATTTTGAGACTTGAACACATGCGTGTATGACTCTTCATCTTGGTGTACTCCCACTATGCACTCAGAATTCTAGCTCCCTCTTTCCCCCTATTTAAAATCCATAATGGAAAAACTCATCTATTTTCCTTTGGGTATAAAATGGTTATGAAAGCTATTGACACATCCAAGAAATACGAATTCTTTTTTCTCTCTACAGGCCGTTGTGGCCATTTAGAACCTTGCACTGTTAGCAACACAAAGTCTCCACAAGAAAAAAACTATACAATGAGAAACTAGGCAAGCAGGAAAGGGTAGATTATTGCTTTTTAACAAAGGAGGAGCTTTACCCATGGAGTCCTAGCCTATTTTTAAGGCAGCCTTGGTTAATTGAGTGTGAATGCTAAAATTAGATATAGAAAAATACTAAGTAAGAAAGGGAGTGGGTGGGGTGATTATGTGAGTCATTTGTTGTATAAAGCGGAATAGAATAGGTCTCGTCACCAGATATGAATAGAATATACTACACACACATAAATACAACCAATGTGAAATATTTCCACAACATACCATTTTGTCTCTCACTTTCCGTACTTCTTCACTTGTTTGTTCAATATCAGCAGCTTCAACTTTTATTCCAGCATCAAACTGCTCTGATACTGACTCATTCAAAAAACACACGTCATCTGTCGCATCTGAAACAATTACAGTACCTATATCCTAACAGAAAAAACAAACGAGGTTTTGTAGTCAGAGGCTTATCAGAGACATTGAACCAACATAAATGAACCCAAAACTCAATGTCCTCGCATATCCCCAAACACCCAGCCTTTCTCCACTGGACATCTATTCATTCAACAAATACCTACTGTGTAAAAGCTAATGGATATACAGATGCCTGGTAAGAAATTTTGTTTTTCTTTTTAATTTTGAGAGTATGTTTATTAAAGCTGAGGAGAGCTGGAATTTTGTATTTTAACAGTAAATCAAGTATAACATCTGAGAAACAGTACTGAAGAATCTAAAAGCTAAAGACTCATAGTTGTTCAAGTAAATAGAATCCATTCTCTGCATTCCTTTCCATAAGTGGCACTCTGAGAACCTAGCAAACATCCTATTAATTGTAAGATATCCCTCCTTTAATGGTCAATGTTTAATGAAGAAAAATGAGAAATACTAACTCAAACCTTCTCACCGCTTTCTTAAACAACTTTAAATATAACTTTCTTTCTGCATTCAACTATGGACATTTATGACATGCTCTTGTATAATATTCCTATGAAATAACTTATTATTTTGCCATTATATGTCCATTCATTTACTGAAGAAATATTAACTGAACGACTATGATGTGTCAACTATGTGGCAATAGAGCGGTTAATAATATTAAAGTCCTGCACTTACATTTCAGTGGGGATAAACAGTCAATACACACATAAACATGATAAAATAATCATTTTACAAAGTGAGAAGTGCAATGGAGAATATAAAATAAGAAAGGAGCTTAATGACAATGGCTTAAATTGTGGTATGACAGTGGAAATAATAAGAAGTGGTTGGCTAGGTTTTGCATGTTTGGATGTTGTGGCATATGACAGAGAAAGAAATCAACCAAATGCTACTGTTTTCAAAAGAAAAAAAGAAGTTTCTCTTCAAACATGAAATTTACCTGATTTGTCTGTAAATCAGTTGAGCCATTACTTCTAGGTGTGTAACTGTTTCTCAAATTTCCTAAAAACCACCATGGCCAGCCAGCTACATCCCACTCCTCAAGCCCGAGGTCCAGCCTAGATGTCTCATCTACAGAAGTCAAATGAAAAGCATAACTATGTACACAAGCCTTAAGCATCAAGACTCTTTATTAATACTTACAATCTCTTTATAAGTAAAAAGTCACTCCTGCTCCCAGTAAGGACGAATCAGAAACCAAATACCTGTCTCAGTTGCAGAGCTCACATCTACTCTCCTGTTTAGACTTTATTAGCTATTTCAGAGTTAAGGTATCTAAAATCTACAAATGCTGCAAATCCAAAATACATTAAAGCCCCACATATCTCAGGTAGAAGATCCTGTGCCCTACATCTAAATGACACGCAAGACCGTTACTAACATGTTTGTTGCTACCACATGAAATTCTTTTCTTTCTTTGCCATCATGCAATCTTTTTCTGTGCTTTACTTGTTTCCTACTTTCTTCCTCTCCTCTATCTCTTCTTCCAATGTACTAGACATACCAATGGCGGCCACAGGTGTTTAAATGTGCTGAGGTACATACATATGGTTTAAAAGATTTCTGCAATAATGGGCCGCTGCTGGAATAGAAGTTTACCCTATCTACTTACAAATTATGTTGATCCTGCCTATCAAAAGGTATTATCTGTGCTCAGGGAAACTTCAGCTATCTTTTTACTTTCTCTTTGCTGAAGTTACCAAAAACCAAACTCCTAAAACAAATATTAAAGTTATCTTCACCTAGTCAAGCTCTATAACTTCTTATGCAGGGAAAGGAAAGAGGCCATTCTTTCCACATATAAATATTTTGTCCTCTCTACCTATACATCTCCCTAAAAATACTAAGCTATTTGTTCTCAAAACTTACATCAAAACTACATACAGTCTCTTGAATTTGGCTGTTCTTATGTTTTAAAAAGCCTTCTAAGTTGAAAATAAGCAAACACCTGCATTTAAAGAAAGAAAATTCTACATTAATGCCACAGACTGAAATAAGCTCCAAGGCTATAGGTAGCCCAATATTCAGTTTACACTGAAATGAAATTTGGGAAAATACAGAAATTGATTCAGTTTTAATGTAAATATTTAAAACAATTTCAACAGCATAACTTTCCTGCCACTGCTCCAAATGTGAGCCTAGACTAGAAACCATCATGATATAAGTGCTTTTGAGGAATTTTTTATTTTATACATTTTTGCAGAAAATAATTTAGGGAATATTTTATAAATAGGGCTTGGGAAAACTTCCAACATATCACTAATTTAACTTAACCATACCACATCTGTATGTATGGCAAAGATCTGATTACTACCACCCAAGGGCAAAGGAATTACCAGGCTTCTATGTCTCATTCTTGGCTCTGAGATAGTCAGTATATTTTATCATTTTTGCAAACTTCAAAAATCTATGAAAATTTGCACCAGGCAAACAAATCAAAATAAAAATTCTAATATGGGTACCAAAATTTAAAAGACCAAAGTAGCCCTAACCGGTTTGGCTCAGTGGATAGAGCGTCGGCCTGCGGACTCAGGGGTCCCAGGGTCGATTCTGGTCAAGGGCATGTATCTTGGTTGCGGGCACATCCCCAGTAGGGAGTGTGCAGGAGGCAGCTGATCAATGTTTCTCTCTCATCGATGTTTCTAACTCTCTATCCCTCTCCCTTCCTCTCTGTAAAAAATCAATAAAATATATATTAAACAAATAAAAGACCAAGGTAGCTGAGTGACCAGGTGGCAAACTGCTAAGTGGTAGCCATCTTCGCTTAGCTTACCAGCTAAAGGAAGGGTCTGCGCCAGCCAGTAACCTGGCTTGCTAAGAGCACTGCCATCCTCTTCACAGTTAACAACAGTGACAGGATTTAAAGAAAAAGATTTTCAGAAAAGAATGAGGAAGAAGTATGACATATGTACCTCCTACTTCACATGAAGAGACAGCATTTTATTTTTCATTTCTCTATATAATGGTATTAATTATAGCCAGTGCTTAATTTGGATAGATGTCATTCCTAGAAGTTATCAACAGAAAAGTCTACATAGCTTCAATCCAAACGTACCTTCTCTGGAATGCGTGCATTTGTTCTGTGAGGTAGGCAGTGTGGGAATATTGCCTTCTTCAGCACTTTTCCTGGAACTGGGCCTTTCCTCCACGTTTTGCTGAAAAGAAGGGAAAGGCGCCTATCAGTGCAATGGAAATGACTGAGACCAGGGGATGCAGCAGTTCCTTTCTGGCTCACCAGTTAGTGTGCCACACAATGGGTTACACACAAGAAAGATAACTCGCATTCACCACAATCATCAAATAAAGGCAACACCTCAACCCATTGTGAGCAGAGCTAAGACAACTGCAAACCTGGGGGGAGGAAAAAAATCTCTGCACAAAAGACCAAAATGTACTGTTAAAAATAAATGATCAATATAAACCCTTTAGCCTATTACATAATTAGGCATAATTCAGAAAACATGTGAAATCCTCACCATATACCAAGATGATCATAAGGTTTTCCCAGGTTTGAGGAAGCTTTAAGAATTGGCCTGACGTGAACTGAATTGCAACAAGCCTGTTAAATTCTAATAAACGCAGTTTCCTCCAACACCTATGAATGTCCATTGTCACACACACACAAGCGCACACACAAAGAAGATGCAACTGGAAGAACTGAAGATCAGAAGTGCTACATCCCAAAGAAAGATTCAGAGACTGGAACTCTGTTATGGACAGAACGGAGAATGTTCACTCTGTCCCTGGTCTGTGGACTCCCAAGAACCTTTATTAATCTCCATTCAGCAAGAGGTCTTGGGAGTCCAAGAGCCACAGGTACAGAGAAGGGGCCACTCTGTACAACAAAAAAAGTCACCATGTGGTGATTTTACCTTCAGGTGGTCTTGACTTGGAATATCCAGATTTTGATCCTGTGCGATAGCGAGAGTCTGAGCAGCATCTGGATAGCAAGTAAAACAAAAGGAAAACCTTCCCTGGTAATAGCCATTCTTCCCACACAGAAAGGCCTCAGCAAACAACCCTGGAGCCAGGTTTGGTCCCTAGAGAAGTACCTCTCCATGTTGGTTTAACAGGGCTCTCATCCAAAAGAAATGAAAAAATCAAAATTGGTAAAAACCACAAAAGCCAAAACAGGCTATATTCAAGATATATTACCAAAATATAATCTGGGGGAAATGAAAGATAACCAAAAAAATGTCCTTCCATAGCAAGCTTTCAAATTTTAATATGAAAAGTGATTTCAGGAGGAAATAATGGTGCCTATTTTTATCATCTCTTCCTATAGGTATTTTATTACCAAATTTGCCTAAGTTGTAAACAACAAAAAGAAAAGGCCTGGCTTTTTCATTTAATTTTTATTTTCAAATGTTAAAAAGTTATAAAGGGTAACGAAATCCGAAAATCTGGAATTTCTCACTTGCATCATAACACAATAGCATCTCCATGTAAACTCACATTCTAAATGTCAATGATTTCACAATTTAAATTCCCAACACCTGACTATAGATTAGGTTTTTTTTAATCAATGAGTCTGATTTTTCCCAGTTATTATAAACATTTCCTAGGAAGGACAAGGAAGCAGAGAAAGTTTTTCTCAAGACCAATAAAAAGAAAGAAAGGAAACTATAACCTAAGAGAAATTCTTAGTCTGAAAAAAATGTATTTCAAGGACTTGGAAATTTTCAAGCAGAACAAAAGATGGAAGCTTAGCTTCAGAGAATTTAATAATCTGGACCACCCAGAGGCTATGCATAACTGAGATGCTTATACGTAAGCCTATCACGGATTGGGCTCATCAGCTACTATCAGGTCCAGAGATCTTATGGAAAATAATCCTCCTCTAAATAGACTGGCAGAGAAGACAGATCCTATAATTGGTCTCACAATTCAGTTGTTTTGCACAAAACATTTTTGAAATTGTAAAGAGCATTCTTTCTAGAAGTACTGTTACAAACAGAGATACTGAGAAGTTTAAGAGACAGCATTTTCTGGCCACAGTGGTCCTCAAAGCTCAGTTAGCACACAACACAGATGAAGCACTTCTTTACTGCCATTTGATTATTAGCATTTATATTCTAAAGTCTTATTCAGTTACAACAATTAGGAGTAAAAAAGAAGTTATCTGAGAAAACTATAATATACATAGGAATTCTTAAATGCAAAGTTTGTCATATAAAATTCAGTTTATCAGGATGCATGTGGAAATTTGGAGAAATGGTTTGTTTATAAAGAACTACCGTCATTTTAAATAATATTTTCCTCAGCCATCAAAATAAAGCATTTAGCTCATTTGCAAATGTGTAAAATAGGTATATGGAAAGCACTTGTCTCATTTGTCTTTTCATATAAAACAGCACAGGTGACCCATTTTACAAAGATCAACCACAGGTACTAACCCAAGTGCAAACCAGAAAGACAAAGTTACTTGTACTGTGATTCTATAAGGTCTAGATAAAGAGTATAATGAACTCTCTATAGTATTTTTGCAGTATTTTTATAGGTGAAATTATTCCAAAGTGACAAGATGAAAAATAAGATGTTTTACAGATTTAATGTTCAGAGAAAAAATGTGTTTAGAAAATTGATGGGAGAAAATTCTTTTATAAGCAAGGAATAAG